AATTGATTCGTATGTCACATTTAAATGAGTAATTTGTTATTAATGAGTTAATAGTTGATAATTTAAACTTTGAAAATTATTATATAATATATAATGTGCTCGCTGGGGAATCGATAGGTAATATTAATAAAACTTTATCGTGCTGTAGTTGGAGATAATTTTTCATTATTATTTCATTATTCTAGTATGTCGAAAAGCTCATTAGTTATTCATCAATTCATCAGAATGGACATTACATTTATAAATGCTGTAAATCACTCAAAGCGAAGAGGCCTCTCAATCACAATGTACTTTAACAAAGGACCTTAATGAAATTATTAACACTAATAATCAATTGCCAATGTAATGGAAGAAGTTTTATGAGAAATTGCGTGAGTCTCATGAGTACTGCCTATACTAATCGACTAACTCGGCTCGTTCGGATATTCTTTGCCGCGCATATTACTATAGGCTGCATTCGCATTTCCGAGCGCTTCTTGCCGACATCTACGTGACAAAACGCAGATGATGCGCCTACGGTCGCCCGCAATTCAAGTGTGTAAACACTAATTACGGACTTCCCGATCGTCTCCTCGCTTCCGCCGCGCGCCAATCGCGCCACACCCAGCTATGCCCCGATTATCAAATGCGAAATGTCGGAGGCGCGATCGAGGAGGGAATCGAGCGATCGCAAAGCAGCCCGTGTGTACGCGACACCTCGTAACCGAGGATGACGGCATCGCGACTGTCACATGATCGCACACGGAGTCACGGACCCCCGGCCCGACACTCGGAGCGCACGCGCCCGCGAATCCCCACGTGCTCTTGTTTATTAGAGTCGCGTCGATAATCGGCAGTGCGCGCGCGCGTGTCGTCGTCGTCGTTGTCGACATTCCCTACCCCCGCTCGCCCACTCACTCTCGTTTCTATGTTGAAATGTGTGCCATTGTGTCACCCGTCTACCCCAAGCGCTACTTTTCCTTCGAAAAGATTCCCGAGATGGGGAGTTAGCACGCACCTGCCAGTGATTCCGTTATCATCTTTGCATCTCCGGAATGTATGCACACGAGCAGCGGCCCTCATTGGATAATCGAGTGTTGCTCGAAGTCCCCCGGCTATTCGGCAATTTTTCACGCTAATACGGTGCATTCATGTCCTGGGGCCAAGCCAAAACGGATGTTGTTATGATTTGGACAGCGTTCTCACTTGCGCCGCTTCTTGGCTAACTGCTTTTAATAAATGCTTGCAAGAGCAATTGCCTTGGATGATTCAACTCTATATAAAGTAAGATGGGAATTAATTATTCGCTAGTCATCACCACTCTTATACTTTAATTTTCTAAAACGAATGCGCGGGCTATTGAAAATTACGAATATTCTGTCCTTCTAATTATTTATCTGTGTATATATATTGGAGTAGGTGCACTAATTAGACCTTTGATAAGAACAATTCTTTGCATAAATTTATGAAATTTAGTGATACTATCGATCGATTCATTCCACATACAAACATAACGCTGTTTACGTTATTCTGCTGTTAATTGCGCATAAAGACCAAACGTTGCACATCATATGTGGTCTATTTGAAATTTGTCCATTTGATTGGATTTATCGATTCGATGGTCGAATTCTTTTTGTTTAATTGAAATATAAACGCAAATCGAGATGATTGATATAAGAGATGCGGTCGATAAGACGGTGTAATTTTATGAGATAACCATTTAATCCGGATTTCATTGTGACAATGTCGAGACGAATTTCGGAAGCTTTGATGTTTTATACGCGTGAATAATTGTTAAATTATATTCGACATAGAGAGTGCCTGGAATAATACGTCACTAATGCCAAATACGTCACGATCAATTATTTCGTATTATTTTTCTTATAAATCACAATCTAAAATGAATAAAAATTGATCGCTCTTTGTATAATCTTGGATCACGTGCACGCGAAGAATATTGATAAAATTTCCACAATTAAATGAGTATAAGCGCAAAAGTCCCCATCCATCGTAAGCCAATTGGGAGAAAAACGAAATTCGGCGATTAGCGATTTACGAAATAGGTTGGCCCTAATACGAAACTAATATTTACCCTGGCTTTTGACATATATTTTTCGCCGACAGGGTCGATCTACTTAATGGAAAGAACGAAAAAATAAATGAATGAAATTAATAGATAAATAAATAAACAAAATTTTTTAAAAAATGGCAAAAGAAAACACAATGTTTTCAATCTAGTTCTAAACGAGATGTGAATGGCTTGTTCTATATCGTCGTTATGATGTGTTATGAATTCTTTGGTGAGTCGACGGTAGTTAAGGAATTTCTTCCTCATACTGTTCGTGTCTTAATTACGTTGTAGTTTCTTCTAAGTGACTTGACTAGTGATAATACATTTTCTCATTCTAACAGGACCGTTTTTCTCGTTCTCATCATCGTCACGCGTCTTTTTGAGTCAAATCAGCCTTTTTCTTTATTTCTATTACTCCGATGTTGTACTACGTCTTAATCTCAAAATATA